AAAAACAAAACAAAATAAACATAGATGCATGTACATGTAACAAATAGCCACACTGCCAGGGTTTTCTAAGTAGTGATTTCAGTTTATTTTGCAAATTTTATTATCATAATGGTATTCTTAATATATTAAGTATTGTTATCAAATTAAATAACTGTAAAGTATGACAATGGAATACTGGTCTTAAATGTTATTTGGATTGACTGATATCACAAGTTTACGAGCAAATATTATTGGTTAGGTTAAAAAATGTTTGAGAAAAACAGCAAAATATTTTCATCTCGACCATGACCATGTCGTACGTACTTGTCTTTTTGTTTACTTTTCACTTTCTTTACATTCAGTTCCTCATCTTCCTCGTCCTCCTCTGCAATTTCACTACGAACCTAGAATAGTGAAAAGAAATGGATTAATCTCTTATTAAGTTCTTCTTAACATAAACATTTTCTTCTAATGCATAGTTGCTTATTTGCAAGCAAGAGAATTTACATTTTGATGATCAAAGTAAATAAGCTCTTTTCATTTTTACGTCACAGAATTTTCTAAAAGAAATAGAAAACACGTTCTCCGTGTTTCTATTGAGTTTTAGTATAAATCTACTAGCGCTCTATCATGAATGCCATTCACTGATTGGCTATGCTACTCACTATCTATTCTGTGATAGATAGTGAGTAGCATAGATGTGTACCCTTGTTAACAAAATGACGGCAGCTTCTTGGAGTTACCAAAGTGTCTGCGAAGAGGATTTAAATAAAGTTTTGAACAACTAGTTGTTTTATACTAAAAAATTAGATTATTTGCTTCCGATTTCTATGTGTGATAGTTGACCTGGGCTGCATCCTCATCAACTATCACGTTATAGAAATTTCAGGTTCATAATCTAACTGTTTAATAGAAACACTCGTGGAAGTTTGGAAGAAGTTGAAAAAGCTGTGGAAACACTTGCCTGTAGGCTCATGTTCCCACAGCACTTCTCATTCTCCCAAACTTTCACTTGTGTTTCTATAACTTGATTGAAACATGATACATGTTTTCTATTCTTTTAATACTATTTAGTACCTTCTGTAACAGGGCAAAGTCCAGGCCTTTCACAAGATGAGTGTGCTCCATGTCACCACCAAGAAACTTACTCTCTTGAATAGCTTGGCGACGTCTCTCAGCTGCAGTGTTTCTATTTTAACCACAATGATGACTCAAGATTAATAGAGGAATTTAACCAATATATTGAATGAAACACCAACAAACTATCATTAGATTGACTGACAGACTGATCTGAAAGTATTATGAGTCCATTTGCAATTTTGTCATGCCCAAGCATTCTACAAAATTATTTGACATCTTACGTTGCTTCTGCAGTAGGTCCAACTGCTCGGTAATTGGCTGTCGCACTGAGGGTGTCCGTTGACTGATAGTCAGGGTTTAGACCATCTCTTCGTTCCCTTGCCTGAAAAAGTCAAAGTGAAGAACTATATAAGGTTGCTACAGTAATTCCAATTCAAAGTTGTCAAAGCAGTAGGCATATCAAGTTGAATGTGTGTAATATGACACTTCATTTTCATCCATCAAGAGTATACATGTATTCACTAATGACATTCATTAAGAACAATCATGAGATTTACCTATTAGGATAACAGCTACCAATAACAAATAAAGAGTTGCTAAATTATGAAGGGGCAAGTACATGTATGTACCCTGAGCTCAAGCAAGAAAACGTCATACATTTGACATATTAAATGAAGTACATGGAACACTGCATCAAACTATTTGTATCAGTTTGCTCTCATAAAGATCTTCCTTCCTTGATAACTTACTCGATCTCTGTATTTACTTGCAAGCTCTTGTTCTCTTTCCTCTTCCATCTTCTTAAGTTTTGCATAATACCTTATAAGAACAAAAGTGACCGTTAATAAGCAAAATATATCTGTTTGGTGACTGTGCAAGATGAACTACAGGTTACAAGTGTGGTCATGTATATGTTAGAACAAATACAATGTAGCTGTCCTCAAGCATGATCATGGTTTACCTAGCAGAGATAGTATAATGTAACCATGAAATATTAAATAATATGATTGTCTAGAATCATAACAAATGCAAAGAACATTTCTTATTCAAGTAATCAAGTGAAACGAAATTAACAAAATTCTTCAATCAGTGACACAGTGATTCACATACTACCTATAAACCAGAACTTCTATCAACAAAAGTTTTTGTGAATTACAAGAATGAAAATTTACAAGTCAAGACATATTCACGTACTTCTTTTTCTTTCTTCTTCTAGACAAGGGATCATCATCATCTCCTTCACCATACCCTTCTTCCTCATCCCTGCAGCATAGATCACACCATATTTTTTTTAATATGGCTGTGTTTCTTGTTATAATTATTAAATCGTACACTGTACAGTCCCAAGATGACCATGCAAGGGAGTATATTTGCAAATATAATGAGCCTCATCACAGGAAAGAGTCATCAAAATTGAAGTTTTAATTAATTTGTTTGACTGACAACTTTTGATAGGTTCCATATGTTTTGACCAATCAAAATGTAAGACTCTAGGAGGGAGAGAGTTAAATAAAAAAGGAAATAAATGGGTGAGTCCAGAAAATATCCATACCCTACCACAGGCGGCATGAACATTTTAACCCCCCTTGCCTTTGGAAATTCCAAAATGTTCTACCCCCCCTCCCCCCATGCCCTCCAAATTCCAAAATCATTAACCTCTCCTCCTCCTCATTGGAATTTCCAATCTTTTTCAGACCCTTTGGTATTCCTGTTTGACTGCCTAAAACTTCCACCAAACGGGCAAATAGCTCTTTCCCCCACCAAGAATCTACTCACAATTTTTGGTCAAGCAAATAAGCAACTCAAGTTTGTTAACATTATTTTAATAAAGTACACCGTAAGTGTTATTTATCAGTTGCTTACCACTAAATAAAACTTTTTGTTTTCAGTTCATTAGTTTCATATTTTCAGTAGAGTAGATCATAAATTATTGTTACCAGTGGAAGAAAAAAGTAAAGTTCACAATTTGCTGGCCGTAACCAACCATATTGAAAATTGCGTTCATCGAGTAACTGCTGACCACTAGTAATGCAGCCTACAAATCTGTCAGGCGCTCCATTTGGAAACGAGAGACTGGGGCGAGTTTTGCTCACGGAACAAGATCGTCAATCGATAATTTTAGATCCAAAAGAGACTTGTTTTATATTTTATTTGACAAATTGACATCAGTTTTTTTATGTGTCTGTCCTCTTATTGATGATAAATTGTGTCATAACATTGTCAAAGGGGCTGTGGAACCGCAGTAAACTTTGACAATGTTAGGATGAAATTTATCATCAATAAGAGGACAGACGCATAAAAAACTGAGGTCAATTTGTTTTTTAACATAACAAGATTCCAAAATGGTCTAATGCAGGGAATGAATGATGGGAAATCCGTCTGTACTCTTATTGATGATAAAAATGAGCCAATCAACGCATGAGGAATTAGACAGTTATTGTAAAATAGTCTGTCCACTAATTCATCAACTTTAAAGCCTCTTCGATGGGGAGCTCGCTGCACAACCCATCCGCTCACTTTTCCGCATGATCGCTAACACCTGCCTGATCGATCTTGATCCTGCTTCTGCGGTGAGTTACAAACTGGAAAAATTATCAGATCAGCAATTTCAAGTGAAGCTTTCGACGTCTTCCCCCTCTGGAAATTCAGAGTTCAAACCCCCTCATGCCTTCAGAATTCCAGTCCAAGAACCCCCGCCCGACTCCCCTGGAATTCCAAGATGCTGCCCATGGTATGGTATGGATATTTTCTGGAATCACCTGATAGAGGAATGTGTTTAGGTATGGGACATTCCCTGTAGTCCTAAATATGCTTGAATAAAGCTATTTTAAATTGTAGAAATGAACTTCACTTGTAATGTAATGTCAAATGTGACATTACATTTTGTACTCTCGGTGTACGATGTCACTTTCCAAACGGCCATTGGAGCCTGACCATGATCTCAACAAAATAGCCAAGTGCATGGAAAGATCACAGAAACCCAAATATTACTTTTTATTTTTCTCCAGCTTCCTAGTGGTCTGGAATCCTAAATCCTTGAATCTGATTGGCTAATTGCACTCCCTCTAGCAGTCCAGATGTTCTCATCCAAACCCCAAGTTATGGACCGCTCCTAAAT